GTGAGTTGAAACACATCAGAAAATGTTAGTCTCATGTCGATAAAAACCCAGTTAAAGAACTCATGTCTCTCCCAATTAAATAAGATTTTTTTTAGTTTTAAACATACAATTAAGACGTTTTTGTGCCTCAGCAAAAAGATGTAGAACATAAAAAATTGCTTTTGTGAAATAAAGTTTTGAATAACATTTGTATTTACATAAAGTTCGTGTTAATTTTTTTTTCCAGAATTTTCTTTTCAGTAGCCTATAAATATCAAAGACTTTAAGATAGCTTTCGTTTCTTTGACTGATCTTTGAAGTTTTGAAGTGATCCCATCCCACTATGACACATCCCACATATTTGAAATTTGAACGTCATTCCCAAATATTTCAACAAGCACACTTATTCATAATATTATAGTATAACTATATGCTCATCTCTACAAAGTTTAGCGTATTTCTGAAGCTGCATGTACTTTGAGACAAACGGTAGATGTCTCTCTACTCCGTGTATTTGAGAGCCTTCATTGAGTCGCTACTGTCTACAGATGACCGAATCGCCATTTTGGAAGCGAATCGTTCACAGCACAACCGTCTTGAGCACAGGAACTATGCCGCGGGGCCGGCCTCGCAAACTGAACCTAGATAGAAAGGACGAAACAGGTAACAAGTACCAAAATGCAAGAAATAAATAGCACTTATTATGGGCTATCCAAAAAGCCGGGTATTATTTTGCCAAGTATCTCCGTAGCCTATTTATTAACACTTGAATGTAGTGTATATAGTCCCCGGATATAGTATTGCGTGTGGGCTTTGCTTTGTGCGGCGAAGGAGTGATTGAGGCGGAATGATATTAATAACGTTTCGGTGGCTCTTCTTATTGGCTTCCAGTGTAAATTGGTGTCCGCGAAGAGAGGAGCAAGCTGTGGTACCGCGTATTGTTAGTTAGAGCGAGCCTTTTTAAAGGTAATATTTGTTTATACGGAGTTCGTTGTTAGCTTAATGTTGCTAACTAGCTCGCTTTGCCACCATTAGCATTACAGTTAGCACGCTAAACTGTTTGCCCTGGTTAGTTTGTTGCTGTGGAGCGCCGTGGTGAAGCTTTCCAGGCTCTCATGGATTCAGCTCGTTACAAAAAAGTTGTATCAGCCTCAGTTGTCACAACATAAATGTAGAATTGCATTAGTTTAGTCGTCATTTAAGTGTTATATCTGACGACATGGATTGTTATGATACGTTCGGCTTTTCAATGTAAATGACATATTGGAGAGGTGATGCAAAATTTAAAGATATAGTCGAATATACATCCCACATTAGTGAATATATTAAGATGGAGTCGCTTTGCTCGACCAGCCTACTGTTAAAAAGTGTCGGAAAGCAGCTAAAGTGGGCGTGTTGCACCCGGTTATGAACTGATACCAAGTTGAATGAGTTCCACACAAACAGATGATTTGAATAAAGTGATACGCAAAATTTGGAGTGCTATTCGTGCAGTTTTTGTGAGCAAGAACAACTATAGTAATAAACTTCATTCACACTTAGACTAAAAAATATTCATCCTATACATTTAAAGCAATCTTTTAATTTTGCCAACATGCTCTGAAAGAAAATATAAACCTTGTTGAGTAGCCTGGCTTGGGTCAGGAACTGAAGATTAGTGATAGCACTGAGTAGTTTTAGATAAGATAAGACATCTAAAAGGGTCTGTCACAACAAGCAAATGCTGTAACACCAATAAAGGCTTTTCTTTTGTTTATTTAGAGGGGTGTTTGAGATGCTGTGTTTGTAAAAATGTATTTTAACATGCTTTGTCATTTCCAACCATTTTTGGCTGAATCAAAATCATATAAATGTAAATTTGCTTAACATTTTTGAGCCCAACTCCATATAGCATGTTAACAATGTTAGAAAGTGCAATTTGTGGTTTAAAAGCAACTCAGTTAAAACGCAAAAATAGGATACATTTTAATACATGAATGAAATAAGATTTTAAAAAGCCCTTGAAATTCTAAAAGAAACATTTGGAGGCACAAAAAAAGCCTTCTTTCAACTTTATATGTTTCTGATTGTTTTTAAAGTTGAATAAGATATGCCAATCTGATTGTTTCAGACTGTTACAGATCATTTTTGGCCTAATTGAACAAGATTGCTTACGGTTAGTTTTTAGCTATTATTTGTGTTGTAGTTGTCGGAAAAGCTTTGACCCTAGGACTTGACGCGCATGAATGTGTGGTGTTGGCAAATCTAAGCTTTGACCAATGCCAGAACAGGCTTTCAAAGAATTGCAGAATCAATTTTGATATTCAGTGGTGGCCAATAAATCTACACAAAAATGGGTGCCACGTTTTCTATCTTTTTTTAGTTTAAGTAAGAGGTCTAGCTGATGCATTTTGTATCATTTTAGAGGTGTGTTGTGAGGAGGAATACATAAATCTAGAGGAGAAAAAAACATAGCTTTCTCTCATTCTCTTTTAGCTAAAATTTACCAGACATTGCTGTGTGAAATGCAAGGTAAACTGAATTGACAGACTTTCTTAAAGGTTAGATGATTTTATAAATTGTTAGAGGTTTCCATCGAAAAAAACTGAGATGTCCAAGGATGGGCTCCTGAGGCACCCCTTACACATCACCTTTATTGAGGATGACTAAAAGTTTTCTGTGGCCACACTAAAAGATCTGTCCTGAAAATCAGAGTAAAATCAGATGAAAAATGTTCTGGGAATGCCAGCCCAGTTATTGAGATAAATTTGATCAAATCCAGTGATACACGCTTGATACTTTTCCCGCAGCAGACACTTGCTGTTTCTGTCCCTGACTGGTATATTCCCAAGTCATTTCTAGTAAAGAAGGTAGTTAATTGCTCAATAAAGATCTTCTCTTCATCCTTGAAAAGAAAAGGAAGTCTTGAGATGGGCACAAACTTTTCGAAGTAACTAGGGTCAGATCAAAACGTTGTATTTCTCTTTGGTAAAGTACGCATCTAGTCAATTATTTAACAAGTAATCACACTGCCTTTGCCGCATAGATTCATGCAAGATGCAAGAACTTTATGTGTTCTTCAAAAAGCCTCTTGACCCGCCGTTTCTGTTTCTCTTACAGGTTTCAGTGATGGGTCGCGGGAAAAGAAGTGCACCATCTGCTCCCAGACCTTCACCAAAGAGAGCAAGCTACAGAAACATCTCCGTGAACATGAGCTTAACGATAAGGTAAAGCCGCATCTCATGAAGTGTGAGCTTTCAGTTACGGGTCGCTGCATAGGACCGGCCTTACCGTGGGAAAACCACATGTCTTCTTTACGTTTGCTCTAAATGTGCTGTATGACTATTTTGGTAAATATTCACCATAAATTCTTACTGGAAAATTGATTGATTTCAATTTAGATTTTTACACCTTGACTTTTGTAGTTAGCATTTGATCATACATTCGCTTGCTGAAGTACTTGTGTCCAGTTGCGCCCCCGAGGGGGGTTATGATGGGGCCACTCTTGAGTAATGTAGGCCACCCCAGAGAATCATGTTGTGGTTGTAGAACAACAGACAGAGTCATCTTCTTCATTTTAAATGTAAAATCTAATAAACAATCCTATAAAATTAAAAATAAATTTGTAGATGAATTCACACACACACACACACACACACAGATTCTAATATACATTTTTTTAGTAGTGCCCCCACATCCCTTACATGTTTTTCTGACCCGCCATTGTTCCTACTCATTAGTCTCATCCTTCAGACAGCCGTGCAGTGACTCGTTGGGTCAATCCGGCTCTTCATCTCTTTGGAATCCATAACATATGTAGTTTTTTAATAACTTGGCATACCTTGATCCATTTAACCGGCCAGCGGCAACTTTTGTCCTGAGTGTAAAAATTTGTCTTGTCACATTTAAGTTTTGATCTTCCTCTTTTCATGAACAGCAACAGCCCTCATTCTTTTCCTGAATGCTTGACATCAGGTCCTGCTCTCAGTGGCTCAGGAAAACCGCTTGATTGTCTGATTATTATTCATGTAAAAAGAAAGTAATAAAATCCACTCTTCCACTTTGCTGCATGTGTGCTTAACTGCCTTTTCAAATGGAAGGACTCCATTTCATTTGAATTCTCTCCAGGCTGAAGAGCGGCAGCCTCGCCGTCTGTCCCCCTGACTGAGACGCAGGAGTCAGTTTAACTGACTGGATTTAGAAATGAAGTCAGCCGACCCCACAGACAGAAAGGAAAATTAGTTTTGGTGCCACTTTCACCTCATTGAAAATGCTGCCGCTCAGTATTACTGTACTTTTTTATTGTTTTAGACACATTCATTCTATCGACTCTGTCTCTTCCACCTGTTAAGGCAACATGAACTGATTCAGGAAGGAAAACGGTCGAGTCTGCTATTGGGTTGCGTTATTGCTATCACATTACAACCTCTGCCTCCTCTCCGCAGCCCAACCGCTGTGACCAGTGCCCGCAGACGTTCAACGTGGAGTTCAACCTCACGCTGCACAAGTCCACACACAACACGGCCGACTTCACCTGCCCTGTCTGCAACAAGAAGTTCTCCCGCGTCGCAGGCCTCAAATCCCACGTCATGCTGCACAAGAAAGAGGAGGTGAACTCGCCTCCTCCGGTTTGCATTCAACGGCAAACTTTACTGGCTATTGTTTCTGAGTCTCGCACTGCGCTCTGCTCTGCTCTTTGCAGAACCTCATCTGCTCGGAGTGCGGCGACGAGTTCGTCCTCCAGAGCCAGCTCTCGCTGCACATGGAGGAGCACCGGAAGGAGCTTTCGGGCATTAAGGTGTACACCTGCAAAACCTGCAGCAAGGAGTTCAAGACGTTCGTGCAGCTGAGGGAGCACACAAAGAGTCACGTCAAGATGAGGTAAGCCGGGTTCAAAACTAAAGCGAGTTTAAAACTACAGATGCACCCGTTTACTTTTTTCACTTCCGATACCGATATAGATACCTGAGGTTTACCGGTACAATCCGACACGGAAAAACAGCTGAATTGACTTAAAATGTTTATTCTTTTTTTAAACACAGACTAAATGTAGTGAAATACAAATGTATTTGATGTCTCTGGACCAGGACAGTACACTTAAATACAGCAGTGGCTTCACAAGCTTGGTCAAACATGTAAAAACTGCACAACTTTAATTTGTTCAGTCAGTGCAATTAGGAGTATAAAAGCCAATGTAAAATAAATAATAAAGAAAAATAAACGGAAAAAGAAAATAGGTTGACTACCTTGGTCAAAGATAAACTGTAGCAAACGTTCAAATGGTTCAGAAAGTGCAATTAGGAATTCAAAATATAATGTAAAATACATAAAAATGCGTGACGGCGCTCAGAGCTAAAAGCATAGAATTAGACTCAATAGATCTTCCCCTTTGAATCGGACACATTTTCACTGATACATGATGTAGAATTTGTTTCAGCTTCGGGACCGATACAGATATCAATATCGGATTGGTGCATCTCTATTTAAAACTCCATTACTTTCAATCTGTCAAGTTTAATAACACTTGGCAATGTCCCTCTCCTGAGTTCAGGTGCATTCGTTAATTTTAAATATTTCCGAAAACATAACTTATTTCAGTAACTCAACTCACCAAGTGAGACACATTATATAAATTAATTGGTTTTATTTCTTTAATTGCCTTTATTTCTGTTCATCGTTCAGCGATGGTCTTCTGCCTATAGCTAATCAAAACATGACATTCAAGACTAGAATATCACATCAGACCAATGAAACATTTTGTAAGTGGGCCCTATGAAAAGTGTTTTATGCGGTTTCAAAGGTTCTCTTCCGAAGGTACTTCTAATCTCACAAAAAATGAGACTCACTGTCATTCAAGTTATTGAATATGGCGGCACATTAATGTGTGATTTACTTTGCTCTTTTTAATGTTGGAATAAGCTGTAAACATCCTGAGAGCTGGAGGGCATCTGAGCCCATAGATACTTGTAATTCACCTTGAGCTTTTGACATATTACAGTCACAAAAGTTTGTATATCTTATACAAAAATATAAAAAGATGATGGGTAATTTATCTCCCTTGTGACATAGATGTTTGTAGAAAAATATTTCCAAAGCCTATAAACATTTTCCTGGTGCTTTGAGTGTTTAACTGTTATAGAAATTCAATGGTTTTTGGAGTTTTTTCCATGGAAAAAAAAAATTGAAAACCTTCCAAAACTTCCATTTAATTCTAAAAACCAGGATAATAATCACGTTTTTCAGTTATACAGTCAGTTGTATGCAGTTTTTAAAAGCATGTTTCTTCTTTCTTCAACTTTACAAATATGTGCTAGTGTGTTGGTGAATGATGTTTTGTTAAAACATCATTCACCAATCATGGTGAATACTTTTGCAAGTCACTGTTTGTTCTGCTTGTTAGCTGTTAGAAATGAGACAGTAAAGCAGAGAATTGGATGGCGCTGAACTCTAGACTTTGCTGAGCATTTGTGTGGCAAGGGAAATACAATTTGTTGTGACTTGTACAGCTATTGTTGGACTGGCTATTATGTTAGTTCGGCCTTCTTATCGCCCCTGTGAATGCAAACAGAAGAAAAGTCCCCACAGGTATGTGTTCTTTTGGAAAGCAAATCTGGGTTGATATTCTCAGACTCCCCTCAACAACTGGGTCTAAAAAAGTACCTGATATGGTGCTAATGAATTTAAACCGGCTACCGAGGTACCTCACAAAAATCAAACTGTATTTTAACCATTTTTTTTAGCTTGTGTTAGCATCTAGCATGTCAATAATTAAATCCAAGCAAAATATACTGCTTACCCAATTTTTTTTTAATATTAGAGCAAAACAGGATTTGCTTTAAATGAACTTAAAATACTAATGACTGATTCAAAGTTAATGTTTTCTTTGTCAGTGACGCGTAAGGTTTTTCAAACTGAATGCCACCGAAAACCGCCTACAAATCTTTGTACACTTTTCCTTCAAAGGGCGCTGTCCTCTAGCTCCAGAAACTACAAGAAAAACATCGATCGCAGCGGGTTCACAAACAGCTGCCATCACTGCGGAAAGGCCTTCAAAAAGCCCAGCCAGCTTGTCAGGCACATACGAATACACACGGGTGAGTGAGAAAGCACAGAAACTCAGAAACCTCTGCGCTCACACATCTCTGATCATTAATTTTCAGGAAAAAAAAAAAAAGCTGCAGGAAAATAGGAGTATATTCATTCACCCACACATGATGTTTCTCTGAAATGATGTTTTCAAGTGTGTTTTCTGTACTGAAAGAAGGATTTATTTCACTTTATTACAGTTGAATAAAATGTACATTATTGATCCCCAAAGGGGAAATTGCTTTTTTTTTTTCGACAAGCTTTTCTGTTAAAGTATTAAATATTAGCAAATACAAATATAACCATTGGTGATATAAAATGTATAAAAAGAAATATATACATAAGTGTGATGTTATAAGTCATTTAAGTATGACCTAAATATAAAATCAATAAAATAACAAGTATGCACATGAAAATATGTTAATGTATAAATAAATCTATAAATGAGCCCAGAGTAATCTTGGACTTCAGGACACTCTGGGCGTTGTATAATCAACAACAAATTAAGCAGTTTAACTCAATGTTTTGAGCAGTGGAAACTCTTAGAGTGCCTTGGGAGTGTGCATCAGCGAGACAGCTCCTGTGTGCCTCCTTGTTCACCGTGGTAACCGAGAACAATTGCTGGAGGCGGATTTGGAACAACATCTCAGGGATGAAGGGAGAAAACTGTGTGGGGATCTCCACAGACGGCTGCTTTAAAATGCTGTTGTATAAACTCCATCTTGACATCCAAGGACTAGTCTGAATGTAACCGGATATCTGGGCAAACATTTTTTACATGTTTTGACTTTTCATACACATAAAAGCTCTGTTTATTATTTCTAAAAATAATTATTTATGAAAACTCTGATCAAATTGAAGATTTGAGAAAGCCCCACATTTGTGTTAGTGTATCAACATTAGAAAACAGATTTTCCCATGCATTACAATCTGTCTACACGTGTGTTTTAACACAATTCCCAAACGACATTGTCTTATAATTTGGTAACTTTATATTCTAATACGTTATTTAAAAGTAATTAAACCTACTGACAAAATAAACATGCTGACGCCATGTTAAATTCCCAACAGGAAGTCTTGATTGTTTTGATGGATTCTGATTGGCTGACATTGGTTTTTATCTTTGTACTACACTGCCCCCTATGGGTTTGGCATGTTTAAAACAACATTAGTGGTGTATTTGTACGAGTTCATGTGGATGAAGACTTTATAGTGTGTACTATATTTTTTTTACACAATGTGGCAGAGATAATGGTTTTCAGAAAGACCTGGGTGCGTGCGTAACAAGGCCTGAGTCTGAAGTGAACGGATTACAAAACCATTCCATATTTTTTTACACCTCAAGGTCAACAAAGTGCTGCCAGAATCCCTTGTGCAGTTTGCTCAGTTTATCTGCTCATGGAGAAACATTCCCAAGCCCTGCTTGTAAATCTCCATCCCTTAACCACAAGTAGCTGCAGCAATGCATTATGGAGTATGTGGTTTGATTGATAAGAGCTAAATTACCGGATGGCAGGCCATTTATTATAGGTGGTTAAATCAAAGTTATACACTATTGTGTGTTGGTTCAGAGCAAGTTGAAAGGGTGTGTTAATAGACTTTAACCAGCTGCATGTTTTAGAGCGTGGTCCAATCAACCAGGTTGTATTTTAGCTTCTGATTTCTTGCTTTCATAGAAAACTCCCCCAACATAAGCTCAACCTTCTGCCGTGTGGGGTGCAAGACGCTGACACAAATAAGAGATGTGGCAGTTTGTCTTCTTGATTGGAGTCTTTTATGTCCCCATTAATGCAAATCTGGGCAATATCCGACGGCGTAGTCCTGCTCCAGCATCAATGATATTTCTCCCCGACAAAACATCTCAGAGTTGGCCAACTTTTCTTATCCACGGGTGAAAGATGGCACATGTCTTTTCGCTCATCTGCGATGCAAAAAAGCAGGGCGGGCAGAATTTTTATGTGCTGCTTCAGTTGCTCTAATGCTCCTTCATCTGTCTGAGTTGAGGATGATCCTGAGCAGCAGCTTTCATCCACATGTTGATCGCACATCATCCAGGTGTTAATGGGTTCGGCTCCATAAGCGGCGGCGGCTGAAGCTCGGAATCCATATCGGCCTGTCAGTCGATGAGGTCGGGAGCTGCTTTTGGGATTTCTGCAGAGGCTCGAGCTCTGATTTTTCTCCCATAAAGAGATGCTAGTTATGCCATCGTTGTTCCTTTTTGCATCAGAGATGATAATACTGGATGGAAATTATTTACTGTCTGAACAGATTGTCTTCTGATTTTCAGGTGAAAGACCCTACAAGTGCACCCATTGCAACAAGGCTTTCAACCAGAAGGTGGTGCTGCAGACCCACATGGTGAAACACACAGGAGAGAAACCTCACATGTGCATGTTCTGCCCAGCATCCTTCTCCCAGAAGGGCAACCTGCACTCTCACGTTCAGAGGGTTCATTCTGAGGTAACGCCACAGGACCCACTTCCTACAGGAAACTGAACCTATTCACTTCATCCTTTTTTTTCATCTGTTTTTGTCATTTAAAAGAAATATTTTATATACTGGAAAAAGCTACCAGTTTGAATCGTCAGGTTGAAGGACACCGTCAAGCTGTGTACCAATGTTTTTGTGGTTTTATTTAGTGCAACGACAATATAAAAGATGCACCCTGGCTGCGTATCTGAAAATAATTTTTGTTATGACTTTTTAGGAAGATCTTCTAACACACAAAGTAAAGTGCCTGCCTTCAGGTCTGCAGCATTTTACTTTCGAGTGACTGCAGTGCAACACATTCTCTTTATTGTTAAGTTCAAAGAGTAAAAAGGAAGTTGTGCTTCTTTCTTCTGCATTTTTAGTCTTTAATCCAACCATGACAAAACGCAAGCTAGATTTGCCTGAACTTTGACGATCTGTCAGCTTTTCCTTGGAAAGCGAAGCGGGGGTTAAGAGATCAAAAGAGGCGCTGATGTCAAAGTATATCCTAGATGCCCCTGAAGAGCAAAATCAGCCTGTGAGGATGTTTTCCCCATTTTATCTGAGTGAAGATTCTCAGCGTTGTTAGTGGTCGATGCCACAATCTGCCTACGTTCAGTTTCATGTCAGTGTCGGTGTGAAGCACCACGATGGTCTCCATCTGTCGACCAGAAATAACATATTTTAGCTAAAAGGTAACACCGAGCTTCAGTCTTGTGCGATAGCTGATGTGGAAATTTGATGTGCTTGTTGCAATTTCCTGCAAATGGATGATTTAGCTTGAATTGAACCGGTTCTATTTCCGTGCTTTGCTTTTTGCTCTTTAAACTTCTGCTTCATACATTTGAGGAAAAGTGAGAAATTTGAGAAGACAAATTTAAGGGTGCACAGCTTCACACCAACTTTCAAATTTCACTTTGTGTTTAGGCTTGTAGCTCAGACTAGTTATATCCACGAGTATGTCTGATGTTAAGAAATATGTTACAAAACATTAAAAAAAGAATCACAAGACATTTAAAAACAGCTTAATAACGTAACATAGAAAAAAATCAAACTCTGACATCAGCACATAAAACAATGGCCACCTGCCAGACTTGAGAGATCATATGGCAGTGATTGTAAAATATTTAGGTGCATTAAGGTTTTGCTTCTGCACAAGCTTATCTGTCATGCAGAGACCTGCTGCTAGTGCTACTACTCCATCCATCCGTCCGTCCAATCAATCAATCAATCAATCAATCAATCAATCAAATGGACCAGTACCCTTCCCAGAGATTTTTTTTTTATTATTTTTTTTACCAACATTATGGACACCTAACAGACAGCATAAAGGCTCACTATTCTACACATTCAGTTTTGGTTTTACTTATGAGTTATACTTAGAAGAAGAAGAAAAAAAGACAATATCTGAGTGTTCCTCAGCAAGGTCAAAAACTGCATTCCTCTCTACAAATACATCAGAACAAATTCAGGACTTATTTTCAGCATTACTGCCATGAATGTATTTTTCCCATAGTAGCAGATAACAACAGGCCAAGGTGTTTCAGTTAACATATCATGCTCAAAATGGGGTAGGAAGAA